TGCTCAGTTAAGACCTGCTACTGTGTATACGAGCGCTTCCGTGAAACTATATGTTGCTCTGCGTCTGATGGTAACTTGTATGCATATCATGAGATACGAGCTATCTTGATGGGTTCTGACGTTATTGAGAACTCTGATGTTTAGTGGAAAGAACTCTGATTGAGAACTCTGATGTTCACGTTGTTGATTATTGTCTGCTACTGAAAATGACAATTTTAGGAATTTGATCGTCATACGAAGGACTATTGACCTCTCATTGTTACTTATTACCAGGTGTTGCCTGATCATGTGTTAGTCGGTATGTAATGAACTCGTTGCAAAACAGTGGACAAATTTATATAGAATAGAATAGAAGTGTCGGCGTTGAAGAAATAGGCCCATGGCCTGTTGCCGATTCTTGAACTTTTCGTGACTTGATTCACAAGGGATCCGGCCTTTGGAACCCGATCTTTCCATAGCTGACGATTGATTGAGATAGCTGCTGGACTTAATGCCTGGTCCGTAATTTGCTAGGCATTTTAAGACTGAACATATGCTCCTGTATAGCTTCGTCTAGTCTGTTTTTGAAGGCGTTCGTACTCGGAGCGTCAACGATGCTATCAGGGAGGCTGTTCCACATGTCGGTGACTCGAAGCGAGAAGAAATGTTAGCTCCGTTTGTTATGAAGGCAGATGTCATGCGACTAATTCAAATGCTATGATACTTTCACTTATGCAGTTTCTTCACTCAAAAATACAATGCAACAATATTTGCCACTACATGAGAAGTAAATGATTTGAACATTTCTGCGTATTAAATTTTTGCAGCAGTTGTTATACTCGTAGATCGATTAAGATTGCTATGTTTGTTGAAAATTAATATTACCAACTAAAACGTTTGGGCCTAGGATATCATCCGATTCCTTTGTACTGTTAATTGTTCTCATGTTGTTGTTAATTGTTCTCATTTTCCGTAGCTCAGTGCTTGGCCATGATGCATGGTTTCTCGATCATTTTCACATTACCTGCATTTTTGATTGCATATTCTGCACAAACAGCAATATCATGCCGATGATAGGAATTTATTAAAAAACTCTTTTAAGCTTGTGGCGTTTCTGAAGAATTGAATGTTACATAAACGTAAGTACAACAAACGTTTAAAATTCGTTGAAAAGATTTTTATCGTTGCAGGTAATGGACAAAATTTTCAAGCTAATTTTGTAAATAATTAATGTAAAATTTTGTATATAGAACCCATAATAATGTGGCGTAAGGGTCTTGACTCTTAATGGTCCAGCCTTTAGAGGAGTACTCCTAAATTATTTCGAAACATTATCCTAAGATTTTGTCCTTTTTAAAATTTATTAACCAGTTTGTATAATCATCCATGTGGAGAAGTTGAATTACTGGCTAACGAATATTGACCACTGAATCTAACTGAAAATTCTTTTAATTAACTACCCGGAATGCATGGACTTAAAATTAAAATTAAAACCGGATTGCATATGGTACCAGTAAAGCCAGGAATTTAAATCACACGAGGGCAGAGTGAGGGCTGGGGTACAACTTTGAATGCAAGGACTTAAAATTAAAATTAAAACCGGAATGCAAGTTACAAGTAAAGACATGAATTTAAATCACACGAGGGCAGAGTGAGGGCTGGGGTACAACCCTGAATACATGGACTTAAAATTAAAATTAAAACCGGAATGCAAGTTACAAGTAAAGACATGAATTTAAATCACACGAGGGCAGTGTGAGGGCTGGGGTACAAGGGTATTGTGGGGCAGAGGGTGGCGTCATTATCGTGTCACGCAACTCACGACGAGGTAACGAGTTCCCCTCACGCTAGTGGGGGTGCGGTGAGGAGGTCCATCAGTAGGAGTCCGTTTTAAATTAGGCTCTGTGTGCCAGAGCCTCGTCACGACAGCGGCACACGATGGCAGCGAAGCGTACAAAGTCTAAAAGCATTAGCTCCGTAGTTTATTTCCAGCTTGCCCATGATGAGAAATCTTTTGTTGATGTACGTCGTATACACGCACACGAAACGAAATCGTTGTTTGATGTTTAGCATACACACGAAACGAAATCGTTGTTTGATGTTTAGCGTACACACGAAACGAAATCGTCGTTTGATGTTTAGCGTACACACGAAACGAAATCGTTGTTTGATGTTCAGCGTACACACGAAACGAAATAGTTGTTTGATGTTCGGCATAGACATAAAAATAATCACTAGTTGATGTTCAGCTTTCGTTGATGAAACGAAATTGTTGTTTGATGTTCAGCATACACATAAAAGAAATCACTCGTTGATGTTCAGCTTTCGTTGATGAAACGAAATCATTTTCTGATGCCCAGCTTGAACACAAAACGATTTTTTTTGTCTGAAGGTCTTTTTAAAGTTCAAGGTCATGATTTCAGAGTCATGTTGTATACAAGGAGTAGGATCAGTTGTAAATGGTGGCTAAAGTCGGAATTTTCGGCTTCGTTATCTTAATACTGTCTCTTATACACATCTAGATGTGTATAAGAGACAGGAACACACCCGGTGATTAAGACAACCATTGAGACAACTCAGCCTGAAATGCATGGAAATTGTCTATGTTGCTGTGATTACCACTCTGCGCTCCCCTCATCTTTCCTCGGCCCTATAGGCAACTTTGAACTCGGCCATTCATCTCACTGTAGTTACAGCCCTGTCATTTGTTGCTCAGTTAAGACCTGCTACTGTGTATACGAGCGCTTCCGTGAAACTATATGTTGCTCTGCGTCTGATGGTAACTTGTANGTGCATCCATTGCGAAAAAATTCATCTTCATACGGCCAGGAGGCCGAATGTTTTTCTTGAATGCCGATCGATCTTTTATCAACAATCCGAACTCTCTTCGTTAATTTTTTCTTCATCTTTATACGGCCAGATGCCGAAGGTTTTTCTTGAATGCCGATCGATCTTTTATCAACAATGCGAACTCTCTTCGTTAAATTTTTTCTTCATCTTCATACGGCCAGATGCCGAATGTTTTTCTTGAATGCTGATCGATCTTTTATCAACAATCCGAACTCTCTTCGTTAAATTCTTTCTTCTTCGTCTTTTTGTCTCTCGCGTGCCTTTGTGCTCTCTTCATGCATCCATCTTCTTTCAACTACTCTAGCACTCCGGCCCCTCCTCCACTCACTCCCCTTATGGCCCTCCACTCCTTTCGTCCCTCCCCCATGACCCTAAAAGGCGACGCCGCGTCTCTCTCTTCCTCTATGTCAGGGTTGCTCTTTAATCGCTCCTCTATGTCAGAGCTGCTCTTTAATCGCCCCCTCTATATCAGGGCTGCTCTTTAATCGCTCCTCTATGTCAGGGCTGCTCTTTAATCGCTCCTCTATGTCAGGGCTGCTCTTTAATCGCTCCTCTATGTCAGGGCTGCTCTTTAATCGCCCCCTCTATATCAGGACTGCTCTTTAATCGCTCCTCTATGTCAGGGCTGCTCTTTAATCGCTCTTCTATATCAGAGCTGCTCTTTAATCGCTTTCTTCAACGTATGTCAGGATTTTCAGACCCATTATCTTAATAACTTGATCTAATTAAACTAAGTTGATTTAAATCAAGTCATAAATCTAACGAACTAACTAACTCATAAATCTAACTTGATGCCTTATGACTTATTTGTTAAAGTGTGATTTTTACGTGGTTGTTTACTTCTTTTTCACCTTGGATCAGTGTCGCACACTGACATAAAAAAATTCAAATTAAAATAACTTTTGTACCTTTAAACTACTCGATTATAGGCTTTGATTGTTTAGCTAGTTACAATCGATGTCTGTATTTTATAGTTATTGCATGGTGTTTATTTGTCTGTGTAGGTAATCTGCCTGTTTGTCTTTGTCGTCTTGATGGATCGTTCGTTATACGCATAAAAATTCTATTCGTATTCTAGATACATGCATAAATAATTTGTAAGACTTTCAGCATTCCAGATATCACCTACCGTTCTCTTTACAATGTGCGTGCTTGATTTGAATGTTATCAAGCTATGCGATCCGTAAATACAAAATAGTAAAATATTTTTCGGAAATTCTACTGATACGACAAAATTCACTAACGACAAATTTTCAATTTAAAATATGCTATTTAAAATAAAGAATCGAATATTAGTAGATATTAAAATTACAAATCAAAACCAGATTTGTATTTTTTCTATCAAAGAAATTATGCAAGTATATCGTACCTGCTTGTGAGGTATTTGGATGCATGATAAAATATTGCCGGTCCAATTTTACTGTAATGCTAGAGAATAATTTTTATACAAGCTAACAAGTCTTGCATCAAGGATACAGTTTAAGTTAAGCGGGGCTCTGAACTAAAGCACATTTGTTGTATTCAGGTTGGAAGGAAAGCTGTGATTGTCAAAACCATTGTTTTTAGCGCATTTTCTCATTTATGGAAAAAAGGCGCTATATTGTGCTCGTCATGTCCATCCGTCTGTCTGTCCGTCCGTGACTTCATTATTTCGTCGACAGGAAAAATGCGCGCTCTGTCACTCACTGCAGTGAGTACCGAGTTGTATTTTTATCTAATCTCTTTCTCTGCATGAAATTATGCCAATTATTGCAATTTATAAATGTGAGTAGAGGGCTACAATATGGCGTGAGTTCTAATCATCAAAAAACAGGCGATATTGGGGCTGTCATTGTGAGGTATCGATGGTTATGTACTGTACTTCTTTTACGTGTGTACGAATGTCAGAAATGACGATTGACGTAAGTCTTGTGTCAGAATTTAGTTGTGTGTAGAATAAGCGCTCGTCCAGTCTTAAATGCTTTCTTCTTACACAAGGTATAGAAGAAATGGAAGAAACTTTAGATGATTTTTCATTGCAGTTCGGGGAAAATATCGCTTAAAGCTGGAATTGGAAAATAAAAGATATCCATTTCCCATCGTTTGTGTGTATGCACTCGGTGTAAGATATAAATAGGCTCTTATTAAATGTCCCCTTGATGTCACTAATTGCTGTTATTTTGATGTTGCAGCACCAAGGAGCAGTCCAGGCTTTGGTGAGACTCTGCATGTTTTATGCATTTTTAAAACTCATCTTAATGCATCTCTTATTTCTTAAATAATGCTTTGACGTTTTTCTAACTAATTTCAGATGTTTTAACACCTCTGCCTGTGCCATCGTTTGATGAGGATTCGTTTTCGCTTTGATGCTTCAGCGGTTTGATGCGACAGACTTGAATGCCTGGTGCGATGGTTAACAGCTGAGCTTACACATGCCTCTCGGTCTCAGTCTTGCATGTTGCCTTTACATTCATTTGATGTTGCAGAGATTTTTTAAAATTGGCAATTTTCACCTTTTAAGACATACGGTTTTCATTCTTTATTATTAATATAAAATTTGTAACAAACATACACATTCTTGTATTGCATTATTTATATTAATATTTTAAACAACAATCCAACACAAATTTGCGCAATTGTTATGACCATTTTTAGCTTCTTAAAAGAAACTTTATTCAAAACAAAATTTGAAGCCCAATTTCAGCGGACATACTGTGTGCTTGATATTTATCGTAACGATTAATTTTTAATTAAATTCAGCTTATTTTGCTTGTTATTCTTAGAAACTTTATATCAAGTAGCTACACTTCCAGAATTTCTCATAAATCCATGGATTTAAATTATTTAATGTCATTTATACACATTTCTGAATTCATTTCTAAGTATAGTTTTCCCGTGTTTATTCAATTTTGCTCTCAGTTCGTAAGAACATTTGGGTTAATTTTTACGATAAATATTGATCACCTTGCATTCTTACGCGGAAATTAGAAAGTATCCTGAAAATTACAAATCCGGACCTATACTTTTAAAAAAAGTTAAGAGATCTTAAGTTCATCAGCCAATCATTGACGGCCTTTCGCGCAAAATCCACCAATCATCGACAAGAAAATAGAGCGTAAGTACTTACGTTCACTTAGCGAGTTTTGAAAGTATGGTCCCATGTCTCTTGCTCGTGAGCTAACCTTGCTTATATACGAACCTCAATTGATATACTCGGCAACAAAACTTCTTGCCTTTTTAGCGAAACGTCGAACTGCATTGAATTCCAATCGACCTTTGATCCATACTCCACACTGCATTAATTCATCATTTGCTTTGATTTTGATTCTATTAGCTTTGTAATATGAGTTCTATAAAATGTTTTTGTTCTCGCTAAGTACATGTGATTATGATGAGAAATATTTTGGGCATAAGAACATAAACTGAATGATGATGATTGTAATGACGAACAAAGATTTCAGTCACGCTAGTGAAGTGAATACTTGCTGTTATGTTGTAAAGATTTGATATTGCGAAGTGAATACTTGCTGATGTATTGTAAAGGTATGATGTTGTTAAGTGAATAATTGCAGTTATGTTGTGAATACAGGATGTTAGGTTGTGAAGATATAATGTTTTGTGCTGAATACAGGGTGTTGTGTTAGGCAGACATGATGTTGTGTTGTACAGAAATGATGTTGTGTTGTACAGAAATGATGCTGGGTTGTGAAGATATGATGTTTTCTATGAATTTCTGAACTTATGTTGTGAAGACATGATGTTATGCACATTTTGCAATGTAAGCTTCTATGCACTCCTCGCTTTATCACCCTAGTTGATTTATTTTGCAAATTTGATCCACATATTTTTATTGGCTGATTCAAACCTGCGTTCGTTCCTTAAATAGGTAGCGGGCGCTACCGCTACAATTGCTTAAATGTAGCGCCGCTACCGCTACATGTAGCGCGCTACTGCCCACCTCTGTTGATAATGATATTATTTGGTTTCCTTTCGAGTGGATTTAAATTGTGTATGCCTTGATTTAGGCATTTCTCAATCGAGGGAATTGAATTTCCTGTTGGACTGCCTGCTCAGTTTAAAATGATCATTTTCAAATTGAATCTTATTTAAAAAAAATGATTGAAATCTACTGAAGAAGATTTGCATCTTAGCCGGCTTTGTTTAACCGATTACACGTTAATGCCTCGCTGCTAATTTGGCTCGTAGTAATTTTACTTAGAATTTTAGTTTGCAAGCTTTTTTTCCTAAATTTCGAGTTTTCAGATTTATGGCACTTTTTTACAGTACTGCTGTAAAAATTGCTTCAAGAACAGTCAACTTGAGTATAAGAAAGTGTTTTTGTTTAATGTTAGATGTAAGCATGTTTCCGCAGTCGGAAAATTTTAAAAAAGATAATGAAAATCTTTATAAATTTTTATTGACGCTGAATTATTATTCGGCCCCAGACCCTCATCGCAAGGTAGCATTTTACGCTCCAATTTTATTCTGTATTATTGCATAATTCACAAAACTGCACGGGTCGTGAGAATTTCACTTGTTTCATTCTGGTTGTAAGAGGGTTTTCAGCTGTGCATTGAGTCGAATAAAGTTGCATTGTGGCCACCAATTTGCACAACCCTACTCAGTTACATTGTCGGTGTTCACAAAAATAATACAAAAATCTTCGCTCAACATTAAAAAAAGATCATTTTAAGATCTTTTTAAAAATTCTTCGTAATATTTTCATCTAATCCACGGATTTAGCTTCAACATTTTTAAATTCAAGAAATTACGCAAATTTATCATACACAGTATTCTTTATCACAAAGGTTATGTATTCAGAATAAAAATTTGATAAGCAACTTAGCAAAGATCGCTAAATTCTCAGCCAATGCAACAGCGATTCTTTCGACTCCCGACAAAGACTACGGCAGCGCGTTTGTCAATACACTGAGGCTCTAGTGGTCGGGCGGCGAGCTAAAAAAGACATTTAACAGCGTCGTGCATCATGTTTTGTTATCGGCGGCCGGTAACGCGAGCAGTGAATGGCACTGTAACTTGTCTGACATCTCCATCATTCTCTGTGCAGCTCGAGGATTTAACTTCTGGATCGCGGATTTAACTCCTGTTTTGGTGCTTGAATCCAACGTACAACTCCGCTGAATGTTTCGTATTATCTTTTTGAACATTTGTGTTGCATGTGTCATTTCACTCATTTGCGTTGTGAAATGTTTGGGGTTTTAAGTATTTTGTGATCTACAACGAGGTTCAGCTGTTTATATCATGACAAAATGATTTAATTCATCTCTACTGTTAATTGGCGTATTTACGCAGTTGCCAAAGAAGCTTAGAACAGTTTTCAACGTCGACCGTTGTAGCTTGCTCGAAATTATTCTATATTTGAACATTGCAATATTCTTTATATTGCATATCGTTTCCCAAACTTAAATAGTTTTGTCATTATTTTAAATTTTGTATTCATTCTCACCAACAAACAATTTTGTCCTCGTACTCTTTCCCTCNTATTGTAAGTACTTCTGGAGTTATTCTTAAATTATGTGGTTTCGAAATTGTGAATTCTTAAGGCGCATAATATATTCCTTATTCCCATGTCCTGATTTTCTTCCGTGTGCAAAATAATCAAGTCAAGCCGAATATCGTAGCCAGCGCACCACGCAATATATAGTCGGACAGGTCTTAAGATTTTTGGTGCGTACTTCCTCGATTACTCGAGAAATATTAAGGCAGAAGCTCTTGCATTGCTCAGCGAGACGTACGACGAAGAGAACACGAGAGCTTCGTGAAGCTCGGCACCCTGGCAGCTTTACTGCCGAAGCGCTGCGATTTACGGCTAGGCTGGGAGCCGGCGGGAATCTACCCTTACAAAATTTAGAGTCGCCCCAGCTTCTGGTAATCCAAATCAGAAGCTGTCGCGTCTGTGAATTTTCACTGGGTAGGAGGGGGCGGCACCGCGGCAGCTATCTTGGTTCTACTTTACAATCATCGCTCTTATTATTGATATTCGTATCTACGACAAAATTCTTTCGTAACACATGACATCAAATGAAGTTTTTTTTCCTACTTACAGCTCGCGTGATGTACCTTGTGCTTTAGTACTGCTACTGGTCAGATATTGAATTAATTTTCCAGTTCTACATTAGTTCTATTTCCTTCACATTGCTTCGCTAAGTAACCTTATTAGCTCTAGGCATCATATAAGATTGTCCACGATCTTCTGTTGTTTCACATCAAATCACGCACTCCTTTAACGTGAGTTTTCCCAGTGACAATAATACTTATTATTTGTATTGCAGCATGGCACTGGCCCGCCGGGTGCTCCAGGGGCCATGCCGGGCCCTGGGGCCTTGCCTGGCCCCGGTTTGCCTGGCCTGGCTATAGCCACCGGATCCAGCATCCGGAGGCCATCAACAGCAGCCCCAGTAATCCACTCGGGCTCCAAGTTCCGGCACGGTCTCCTGCAGCTCATGATCCACACGATAGACCCCCTCCACGATGGTAATGTGGATGGTAAAGAAGGGGGTAATGTCACACACTCATCTCAGTCACGTACTGTTCGTCTCTTGGTGTTGTAGTGCTACGGTTGCGTGTAGCTGATTTCTTTTGATGGCAAAGCAGCGGTACTTCATGGCCACGAAATGTTCTCCTTGCAGTCCAGACTCGTGTACATTGCGCGCGCAATGCTCTGCCATGGGAAATTCTTCGCTTCTATTTATTTCTCTCCAAGGCGCGAGGTTAGGTAGTTTCTCGCTGTTGTGATGGCCTTATGAACCCGGTTTTGCTTTGGGATCTTGTACCACAGATTGAATTCAAGATAAAACTTAAAAAATTTCTTATCGCTGTCGGTGTTGCGAGGTTCTACGTTTTGTGATTATGAGTTTGTTATCTACACTATAAATTCTAAACTTTTGCCTGAATATGTAAATATGAATGTATATGTTTTGCTTTAATATGTACATGTAACTATAAATTAACCGCATTAATGAAGAAATCCTTTACTGTAAGATTTTGATCATCATCTGGTGTAATTTCAACTATGTTGTTCGAAGTAAATCTTCGTTCTCCTACTTTGAACTAAAAAATTAAAACGGAACAGAAACGATTTATTTTTCGTATATAGTTAAATTTGTGTGATTTGTTAACCCGTATATAATTAATTATAACTTGCACGTAATCATTTTGTAAGCGTTCCAGGCTAGCGTTCCCGGTGAAAAACTTTGAATAACCAGAAGGTGCCAGCGTTTTGACGGTCAACTATGTACAAGACTATAATTTTAACATAAGCTTACAGCGCCACGATGTCTGAGATTTGTCAGGATTGAGCCTCGCCTTCTGCGGGTACTTGACATGAGCTGTCTGATGTAAGCAGATATGAATAGAGGTTTTGTCATTAAATGCAGCTGCTCTTCAGTGGAATGAATGTTTACCTCGACCGAATGAGGCTCGATGTGTCATACTTCGATGAAAGTTTTCTTCCTCCTTTTTTATCCGCCTTTGAATCTTATGCAAACCGTTTGAAAATCGTTTGCTGATTGGCGTGAGCTTTGTCCTATATAGCGTGTCATATTTTCCATTTATTGCTATGTTCGTCTCACTTAAATCTATAACTTTTGTTTTTCAGTTAAAATCTATTTCTCGTCCATGTTGAGTCTGCTTTGGAAGTTTGCGTGAAAGAGCTGAAAGTCATTTTCGTCAAACCTATTGTAAGTACTTCTGGAGTTATTCTTAAATTATGTGGTTTCGAAATTGTGAATTCTTAAGGCGCATAATATATTCCTTATTCCCATGTCCTGATTTTCTTCCGTGTGCAAAATAATCAAGTCAAGCCGAATATCGTAGCCAGCGCACCACGCAATATATAGTCGGACAGGTCTTAAGATTTTTGGTGCGTACTTCCTCGATTACTCGAGAAATATTAAGGCAGAAGCTCTTGCATTGCTCAGCGAGACGTACGACGAAGAGAACACGAGAGCTTCGTGAAGCTCGGCATAGTGTTGATACTTTAGTGTTGATACTGTAGTGTTGATACTGTAGTGTTGATACTTTAGTGTTGATACTTTAGTGTTGATGCTGTAGTGTTGATACTGTAGTGTTGATACTTTTGTGTTGATACTTTAGTGTTGATACTTCAGTGTTGATACTTTAGTGTTGATACTTAGTGTTGCTACTTTAGTGTTGATACTTCAGTGTTGATACATTAGTGTTGATACTTTAGTGTTGATACTGTATTGTTTAAACTTTAGTGTTGACACTTCAATGTTGACACTTTAATGTTGACACATTACTGTTTGAACTTAAGTTTGATACTTGAGTGTTGATACTTGAGTGTTGATACATGAGTGTTGATACTTTAGTGTTGATACTTCAGTGTTGATACTTTAGTGTTGTTTCTTCAGTGTTGATACTTGAGTGTTGATACTTTAGTGCTGGTAATTCCATATCCTGCCCTCACATCGCTAATCTTCGCCTGCCGTCCTGTAACTGTCAAGCTTAATATATTCCCTTCCTCTGTTGACCTCCGCTTTTAGTCTAATATGTCTCGTGTTTCTTATGTTGCCCTAGAATCTAATGCCTACCCTCATATTTTGTATTGCAACTTTTTGGCAATGCATACAAATTTGCATGCTATATATCATATATGCATGGAATTGTTGCTTTAAGATTGACTGTGCAACAAAGTGACGATTGAAAGCTATTAGGAGATTGGGGTTGAAACGTCATTGACAATCAGTGGTATAATAGCTGCCTAAAAATTGAATTTTGTGCTTTGAACCTCAATGAGAAATTCTGACTACAAATAAATATTTTTCGAAAAATTTAACAAATTCAATATACCTCCGAATATCAAAACAATTACGCTACCTGCACTATAATTATTGAGGTAACATATTGTTCTATTTGGTGCCGCATCTGCATTTTTCGTTTTATTACACGTTGTATTGGCGCAATAATATTTTATTACTTTGGCACAGTTTTTAATTTTATCTTAGGTGTTGTCATTTGGAATAATAAGGAATATTTTCATCAATTTAGGACGGAGCATACATTTGAACTCCAGTTTCAATCAAATTTTGAACTTCAATTAAGCTGCGAGGCAACGTTGCCTATACATGAAAGTTTTTCCAAGTGTTAGTCTTAACTCAAGCTTTAAAAAGGCTTCGTTTACTGGTGCTGAAAGTTAGATATTTTGTTTGCTGGTGCTAAAAGTTAGGTATTTTGTTTGCTGGTGCGAAAAGTTACGTATTTTGTTTGCTGTGACTGGAAGTTACCGCGGAGAGGATTCTTGCTGCTTTTAAAGCCGTCAGCCTGAGAGACTGCTATATACCATCCTACCCTCCTGTTCTCCCTCACACAAAACAAAAACGCTCACCGACATCAGCGCCGGAAAGCGATAACTGCCACAAGTTTTCAGGCCCTTCAACGGCTCTCTTGGCACCGCCAAGAGCTCGAACGTAAAAAAAAATTCGCTGCGCTTGTCTTGCTAATTTTTTAGTAGTTTCTAAACGATAATTTTCTATTCATTTCCTCGATACAAGCTGCAATGAAGCCGATACTGCATAAATGAACTATTTCAATCCAAAACCAATTTTTTNAAATTCGCTAAGTAAATGTAAGTACTTACGCTCTATTTTCTTGTCTATGATTGGTGGATTTTGCTTGAAAGGCGGTCAATGATTGGCTGATGAACTTACGATCTCTCAACTTTTTTTGAAAGTATGGGCCCAGTTCACTTCCTACTATCCAGTTCATGCTTCATCATAAGTGACCGCATGGCAAGCCTTCACACGTCGCTTAAGTCTTGTTTGGCCCTGGAGAGCTCAGTGCGATCACTGCGTCCAATAAATGTCGAGGTCTCAGAACTTCGCTGGCGCGTTGGCGGCACTCAAGAAAACTTGTGTTGCTGCACGCCTTCTGTTCAAAAGCTTGTTTATAAAATAGGATAAACTTCTGGTTTGAGCTTTCTGTGAGCAATACTCTAATGAGACCAACTTGTATGATTTACAACATCTCTTTGGTAACTAAAGTTTTCGTCTTGGGCTAGGGGTGGCTGAGGGCTAGATTGTAATGAACAGCCTTGTGGTCTATTCTTTGGTCTCTTTAAAATTGGAGAAATTTGGTATCAAGTTAGCGTGTTAGCTTATAATTGGTCGTACCGGATATTCCGGAGTTTTTTGTAGCACGAAATGGTACTAATGCAAATTTTACATTCGTCTATTCTACCATTAAATGTGGAGGGCCTCTTAATAATTGTATGTGAGACATAATTCGTACCGAAAAGATTTACATTAATGCCATTGAAAAAACTGATTGCATTTCAGCTGTGAAATGTTCAAGTGACGTCTTTTAAGTAATTTTTTTGCAATAAACTTCCGATTTGGTCATTATATTACGGTAATTAAAAAAAAGTTTCCAAATGCCTTCAGCCAATTTTCGTTGAACCCATTCACAAGATTTACAATCCTACGTTCAGAATCGTCCTCTCATCTAAAACACATCACATTTCTTAGGGGTGAACATTTTTAGCGCATTTTCTCATTCATGGAAAAAATGCACTATTGTGCTCGCCATGTCCGTCCGTCTGTCTGCCCCGTCTGTCTGTCTGTACGTCCGTGACTTCACGTTTTCGTCGACGAGAAAATGCGCTCTCTGTCACTCACTGCAGTGAGTACTGAGTTATATTTTTTAAAATTCTTGCTTGCATTGCACGAGGCTGCTCGGTTTATACAAGGCTTGGCCGTGTTAAGCCTCGTCACATCAAGATTCTGTCGGCGAGGTTCAGACCTGCCATTGTTCAGGGGCTTTGTCGTGCGGCAGTCCTGCTAACTCTAGTAGCGGTCATCGTAAAAATTCGATTGATGGTCATATGTTCCTGGATTCTGGTAGAGAATCTGAGAAGTAGTTGAAAGGCAAAAAAATTCTTTTAGGTATCTTGAAAAAAAAATAATAATAAAATTTAAAATATTTAACCTCTATGAGAAGTAGTTGAAAGGTGGTCTTGATGGCCTCGAAAAATTCTTTAGGTATCTTGTCATCAACTTTGTTGGTCTCGATCTTAGGAAAAAGTTGAAGAGCTTCAGCCCAAATGTTTATTCTACATCAACATTTGCTGGCGCGATTCAAATTCATACATGCCGTGGTTAGTTTAGTATGTCATCTTTGCATTATATTTGCGTCTTAACATATGATAAGTCTGCAAGATCAGCTTCAATTAACCAACAGGGAAGTCGATATATTTCTTTCAAAATCTTACTTATTGATGGTGTTTGTTTCTTATTCTGGTGGTGCCTTGATACTGCTTCAAAACACAAAATTTTCTTAGACAATCGTAAATTTTCCCCCACTGCTTCGCATATTCGTCTGTCCCCTGCACATGCTTAACGTTGCATTCATGTTTGACTCAATTTTGCTTGCGTCAGAAGAGTTTAAAAGCTCTATTTTACGGCACTGTTTTTTATTATTGTAACGATTTATGAATTGTTAGTGGATTGCTGTTCACT